CAGGGTCTTCCAGCTCCCAATCCAACTCCAACTGTCTGTTTATCTGTTAACATAGTTTCAGTAAATCTAAGATGACGCTCCCGTGTTTCTGCATTTTATGAAATTTTAACTCTGTACAACACCTTGAGACTTTCTGATTCAGTGGCATTACAGTTTATATCTAGTAAAATCATAGCAGCAGCAGCAGTAAATTATCTGGGGGAACCAAACGTTCAAATCTTCTTTCAGTTACAGGCAGCATAATTAATACTCTCCCTCCTTTTGTAGAGTTAGTAGCAGCTGCCTCATAGCTTTCCAGGTTTTCCCCCTGAATCCCACGTGGAAGCTTGAGGTTAAGCCGCTGCTAATTTGAAGTCTCAGGATGCAGAGATGGAGGCCAAAGTCCCAAGGCCAGCCCTCCCACCATGTGACAGACTCTGCTTGCTCTCACTCTCTCTGCGCAATTCCAAATTGCCATTTTCCTTGTGCCTTATCAACACTCAGAGCCTTGTCAGACTCAACAAAGCCTTGAGTCCTGTGGCAGAATGACCTGGACTTGTGGGAGAAACCCTCCCCCCTCCCCTCTCCTCTCTATAGGGCATAAGGATCAAAAATTCAGTAGTGTCCAATGCATGTCTTAATTTGCCCAAAGGAAGACATATATACAGCGACATATATATTTTACTGGCTGGGTTCATGTGTTGCAGTAAGCCACAGAGTAGCTGTTAGATTTGGGCTTAGGTATATAAGCCATTGCTTTTGTAAGCCACGTTTATCACTAAACTTATAATGTAAAGTGACTAGTTTGGCTTGTTAAAAAGCAAGAAGAAGCAAACTGCACTTAGCATAATTATGAACCCAGCCATTCTAACTTCCTAATAATCCTGTGAGGTAAATTAAGCAAAACAGTTGGATCAAAGTCATCCAATAAGCTTCATGGCTAAACAGAGATTCGTTGCTGAATTGTCCAAATTCTCTTTTAACACCTCATCAGACTGATTAAAAGGGCTCATTGGATATCAGAGAGAGGTAAGCTATGAGCGCCTTACATTTGGGTTCATTCCTGTTAGGATTCGGACTTCGTGTCCTTACACATCTGTCATTCTACGTCCAACTCATTTTTAAAAAGAAAAATGGAATAGTAATGATTATTGATTTGCAGTAGTGCCAGCTCCAAAATTCTGGTGCCTTTAATAAGTTCCCTCCCTTTCAAAATGTAGGGTACCTACAAATAAGATGTTTTTGCCCCTTTTTCTAACTTTCTCTGTCATCCTGTACAAACTGAGCAGAGGTCCTATGGCGATGAGAAATGCTTCCCCCCATCATCCTCCAGAGTCAGCCATGTAGCAAGAAAAGCTTAAAAACACACAGTTCCTGGCCTTTTCCAAAGTTTTTTGTATAGCCAATGGTCAGCCTAGAGTTCATTATCGTGTATTAGTAATATGTGTATATTATTAGATTCTTTTGCTTTGTAAAAAGTCCCTTCCTCCCTTTCTCTATAGATGCATGCACACAGGTATACGACTTTTAATTGGGCAGGATAGAAATTTAGCAATAAAACATTTAATTGGGCAGAATAGAAATTTAGTAACAATATAGATAAAACTGGATTTTGAGCAAATGCTAAGTTAATTTTATTTCATCACTGAACCATCACACCAAACCTAATCTCACATAGATTAGATAACTGACCTGGATAAAGACAGACTTCATCCCAACTCTACCAGTATATTTATATTCGTATTCTTCAGGCATAGCAGTATTTTCCTCAGATTGTGAAGTGGCTGAAAACAGCCCCTCCTCACATTCAAAAATATGGATACCAAAGCAGAACGTACATCATACCAGAGCCAATGTGCTATGGTAATTAGTGCTATGGACTAAGAATGGGGAAACTCAGATTCACGTTCGTACCCTGCAGTGAAACTCAGTAGGTCACAATGCCCCAGGTGCTGTCTTCCAGCTGGACTTGCCATACACGGTTGTTGTAAAAATAAAATTGTAAGGGCATACTGTCTTGAACTTGTATAGAAGACCTAGATATAAAGCAATAAATTTTAGGATCACAAACTCAGGATCACAAATGAATGCAAATTCTCTCTTTTTTTCCCCAGACTAGTTCATCAAGTATAAAAAAAGAAGAGGCTTTTGATACGAGCTCTCCTTTTTCAATGATCTTTGAGGGCAGTGCTGAGGAAGAAGACTCTGAATTCTTAAGGATCCAGGTAACAATGCTGTAGAAAGGTTGCCCAAATGTCTGTAGACACATCTAATTCTCTGGGTTGGTTTCTGGATTTCTTCATCAGCATTGGCAGACTGACTCAGTCACAACAGTTACTGCCTTTTCCTTCCTCAATCTAGTGCCCTTCAGAAGTGCGGACTCTGCAAGTTCTAGAATTCCTAGTGTGCGTGTCTGAAAGCTATTCTGGCTAGGAAATTTAGGGTTTACCTGCCCAGTGCATTTATAAGACTAATTTCTTAATATTGGTATCGAAATATGTGCAAGCATCACCTCAAAGGCTTCCCCACATCTCAAAAATGTGAGATATAACAACTTCAGTTGTAGGTTGGTTTTACACTGGTTTGATCAGAATCAGTATCACTGCTTCTTTCAGTTATTTTGAAGAGTTATTAGCATACATAGAGCTCTCTGAGACCCAAGGCAAACCTCATAGATGGGCTTTCTGGTGAGAAACTCAGGCACAGAATCCCTTTGGCTGCAGCACCTGAGGATGGGCAAGTCAACAAGAAGCTGCTTCCTACCACCATCCTCACCCATGGCACCAAACCCATGAGGTCTCCCCTCATCTCCTTAGTCACCATAAAGTATCCCTTCCCCAACTGAGAAGAACAACACCAGCATTGCTAAAAATGTGGGGCAAGGAATAGGACAAAGGGCAACTGGGCTCCTAAAGTGACCGCCTTCCCTCTCCTTTCTATGAAATTAGTCATTTTCTGTTTACAGGAAAGGGCTAACAAGTGAGACTTGCAGCAACATGTCATGCCTACTGAATAAACCCAGTCTTCTTTCAGCAGCTTTAATTTCCATCCCAGAGTTGAGGGTTCTCCTTCTCCTTCTCCTTCTCCTTCTCCTTCTCCTTCTCCTTCTCCTTCTCCTTCTCCTTCTCCTTCTCCTTCTCCTTCTCCTTCTCCTTCTCCTTCTCCTTCTCCTTCTCCTTCTCCTTCTCCTTCTCCTTCTCCTTCTCCTTCTCCTTCTCCTTCTCCTTCTCCTTCTCCTTCTCCTTCTCCTTCTCCTTCTCCTTCTCCTTCTCCTTCTTCCTCTCCTCCTCCTCCTTCTGCAAATGTTGGGGATGCTAACACCTTTGCTTTGTATAGATAAAATATATTTAGCTATTTAAGTGGCCACATTTGGAAAGTTGAATTCTAATATTAATACAGACAGGAGAAATTTGCAATTAAAAAATTGCATCAGAACTTAATCATTGTGTGTTACATTAGTGAGGACAAACTCCCTCATTCCCACATCTTTTATCTTAGTTGCACCTGCATTCTCCTCTTCCCTAAAGATCCAAGATTATTGGCTGAACAATCCATGCCTATTAAGCAGATAATGTCTCTCCTTAGTTTGATGGGACTTGGGATTCTATGCCTCCTCCAAGTAACATTTAATAACATAGCCAAACCTCTCATATACCCAAATGTTGCCCAGCTTTAACTGCAGTGACAGAGGAATTGTGACTCTCCAGGCACTGTCGTGAAATTTGGAAGCAAATATAAAAATGGGATTGTGCTCATTATTAAATGATCAAGCACCTCTCTACTCTTCTTTAAAGCACCAGTGTCTTTTCCTGAGATTGAACCTCCCCCTGCACACTTCCAAGCATCTTTCTGGAAACAAATCCAAAAAAGTGCATGGCCCTAATAATAATAATTTGATTCTTTGTATTTCTGGTAGTTGGTATGATATTTTGTGATAGCAAAAGTAATTAACCCATTAATTAATAATTGTTCATTCTGCAACAAGGACAGCTGCTTGCATCCCACAGCAGTATCTTGCATCTCAGGAGGGTTCAAAAACCTTGACAACTTCAGATCACCAATCATCTTTCTGGAAACAAATCCAAAAAAGTGCATGGCCCTAATAATAATAATTTGATTCTTTGTATTTCTGGTAGTTGGTATGATATTTTGTGATAGCAAAAGTAATTAACCCATTAATTAATAATTGTTCATTCTGCAACAAGGACAGCTGCTTGCATCCCACAGCAGTAAGGAGAAGACCAAAGCATGAGACTGTTGTAAAAGAAACAGATAATTAAACCATTAGTTGTACTTCTGAAACAAAAAGATGTATTTCTTTTCACATCTATAAGAAAATATCTGCACTTTGTTGACTGAGGACTATGCTATTGCAAGTAGGATGGGAGGGACTTAATCTCAGTGAATGCCTTCAAAATGTTGGTTTCCTAACTATTGCCATCTTGCATCTCAGGAGGGTTCAAAAACCTTGACAACTTCAGATCACCAATCCATGATCACTGGGGACATTAAGACAATGCAGGTATGTTGGAGTTGGACCATGAAGACATCATTGCCACTCTGAAAGAAAGGGGCAAGAAAAAAATATCTAATGGAGTGGGTCTGAGAAAACAGGATTTTTTGTTCAATGGGACTTACTTCTCAATAATTATATATAGTATCCCTAACTGGTGAAAATTTAGTTTATAAATATAGCAGCTACAGGGTCTTCCTCTTCTCTAAAAAGATGCTTGCACTTGGGTTCAGTGGGAGATTTTTCCATTGCAGGAAGGAGGAGATTTAGAATTAACTGATGTTTTAAAAATTAATTTCCTTATTACTATTGTTTTTTATCCTAGAAGCCTTCAGAAGTCCTCCTGACTTCAGATCCGCAATCCACTGTCAGAGGGGATTCTGTGACAAAACCAGTACGTTAAAAATTATTATCAGATGTGTATTATACAATACTTATAGCTTGGGGATTATCTGTAGATGGGAGGTTTTCTAGTAGAGGAACTTGTTGATGTGGGTTTTTAGAAGGCTTGTACTGGAAAAGGCAATTCATAAGGCAGTTGGACCTAGTCTACCTCAGACTATATCAACTATAACATCTATGGTCTTCTAAATATGGCTGAATTATATTTGCCATCATCCCTTAATCATCTCCTTCATCACAAGTCCATGAGTTTGGAGGTGCTGCAAGTTGGAATCCAACAATATTTAATGGACTTCAGGCTCTCACCACTGATTTATGGTTTTCAAGATCAGTAAGTTGAACCTGAACCAAAGATGGCTTAAAATAGGCATAAATAGACAGCAAGGAATACTACTGCTGATTTCAAGTAATCTGTATTTTTAACAACCTACAGTTTTTGAAAATTTATCAAAGATGCATCAATGTATTACAATAATTCAGTCAAGATAGGTGCAGGCTACTTTGTTGTTTCTAGGAAGAGCTAAGACAGCATCCCAACTGAATCTGGTTAAAAACATTGGTCCATAGTTGCTCCCACCTAAGTAATATTACTGAATGTGAGGGATCAGTCACATGATTCCACAGGTGTCCATAGAAGGGAAACAAAGGACAGACTGTGCTTTGTACTGCAAACTTACATTCTTGCATGCAATTTTACATGCAATTTTGCAACACAAGTATGAAAGAGTAGAACTTGTGCTCTGATGTCACAATGCATGTTTCATCATTTTGATGTCATCACTGCTACCTGCCAATACTTGTGCATGGTTCATACAGAAATGGGAACTATGTTTTCCATTTGGCCAACATAGTTGGTTATATATTTAAACAAGTACTTGCACGAGGTCGATGTTCCTGTTCTCCCTTACTGCTTTTTAAAGAGATGGTTTATCACTAACTGTTTTTTCTGTCTTCCTTAGATTAATAATACTTCACAGTGTATCTGTCCAGCAATACCTGGTCCTCCTGGTCCAAAGGTGTGCATATTATGTATTCTTTTTTTTTTTCCTTAGCAGAAACAAGAAATATAGGTCCATTTGCAATTTAGCTGGCATCAAGTCTATAGTTGGAAGCTTCTACTCAAAAAAAAGCTGAAAAAAAAAAGTTGAAAAAGCTGCCCAAGACAAGGAAAAAATCTGTTATCTTTCCCAAGTGTATATTAAATCAAATGTATGCTACTTGTGTTACTTACTAACTTAGCCTGTTAAAAATCAATAGAACTGTAACTTGAAGAGTTGCTTGTTAGTCAGAAATTCAACTGTTAGCTTTTCTTTGTGCTGAAAAGAGTAGAAGTTATTAAGCTATATTTACTGTCATGGAGCTGTTAAAGTTAATGGCACAAAAACTCTGCCAGGGGTGCAGTGGAAATGTGGGTTGCTAGAAGACAACTAAAATAGAAACCTTGATGATTTGAGCTGGTTTCCCCAACCTGACATCTTCCAGATACATTTGGATTATAACTCCAAGAATTCTCCTATAGCTGCCTTCCAAACACATCTGGAAGGTACCATGTTGAAAAGGGTTAGATTTGATACTTTAGACTCTTTTGCAAATGATTCCAGTGGAACCCAGTTTCAAAGACTGTTCCCTGAAGGAATGTATGTGGACGCTATTAACCACAAAATATGTGTCTACAAACATCTCCCAGAGGCCTTCTCTGTACCTTTCAGAACAGGTGCATTAAAAAGGGGCAATGAATATCAGGTTTCAGTTGGCATCTGTACAGACTTCTATGCAAGATCTGATGCAAAGAATGTTTGTTCTCCCATAGAGTTTTTAAAGAGAAAGAAAAGAACTTTGCACCACAAGGGTTTGGAATATGACCTTTCATTGCATGTTCTATTGTCAGAATTTGCACGATACTTCTTACCTCAAGTTCTTATCTATGATAGGGAGAAAAGGGTGATCAGGGTCTTCCAGGACAAAAAGGACTACCTGGAGAAGCTGGACAAATTGGCAAACCTGGCCATCCTGGCCTTCCAGGGTTTCCAGGGCCTCCCGGACCACCAGGATCACCAGGTCTACCAGGCTCAACTCTTCCTAAAACAGCAGACTTCACTGATGCCAAGAATGGAGAAGAAAAGGTGAGATTCAGTGATAGACTGGGCACAATAGCAATGTTTTTTCCAATAGTCTAAAAAATACCAGATTCACCAAACAAAGATATTCACTTTTCCATGTCATACAGAATCCACATTATGCTTCAAGACCATTCAGGACGTTATCTATTTTTACTTGCTTGCTGACTTGCTTTGCAGCTGATCTTGAAAACCTGGTGTTGTTTTAGTAAACCAGCGATGATGATAAACCCATTTGTGGCCTCCAAAGCACTCCATAATGGGAAGGGCCAAAAGTGTTCAGCTTTTGTTTGTTTGTTGTGGGGGGGGGGGGAGTGGAATGTAAAAAAGAAAAATGGCACCTATAGCCAGGCTTACAACCACAATTCAGCTCACCAGTGTTCCTTCCAAGAGCCTAAAATGAAGAAAGAAGGAAAACATTGTCTCTGCCTGCTCAGTAAAATCATAACTTCACTGGCCACAACTATATAGATCCTAAGCAAGGCAGAAAGAGGAAGTGCAATTCCAAACCAAAAGAAGTCATGTGTTGCCTCCCTCTCCATAGTAAACTTTCTTAAGTAATCTTTATTACTCTGGACTTCCTGATCAGCCTATGCATTATTGGGCTGTACAACATGTGACTGACACAACTTGTGGCCCTGTACTATGGGCCCAACATGTGACAGGAAGGGGGAAACACACCCAGTTTTGCAGACCTAGGCAAGAAACAAATACACTCATATGATGTCCTTTTCAATTCTGTTGCCTGGACAATGATGTTGGTTCAGAATTTTTTTCATAAGGCAAGAAACTTCTCATAAGAATGCCAGGACAAATATTGTAGCAGTTTCTATATTTGTCTGTTTTAGAATACTCCCCGAAATACCACGGCTAGCACTGCCAGTCAGTACTGATGTTTGGTCTTTGGATCATAAAGGGGAGAGGAGAATTAGCAGAAGTGGAGAGATATGGGAAGTTCATACATTAAAGGAAAGAATGTCTGAACCCCACTGTAAAATTCAATAAAAGAGGCAGGGTGATTGTACAGTAGAATCATCCTCTGACAGTTGTAAGTGTTCCCCCTATCCAGATCTGACATAAATTCCTGTTCCAAGTCAGTAGTCTTCTTCCAAACTAACCCGTGTCTAATCTTTATTTTCAGTATTCCTTATTTTTGTTGTTAAATGAGATGCAACAAATGGCATCTCGTCTAGTACTGTACGGCTTGAAATCTGCATATGTGCTTTATACAAAAACAGATTTAACAGATGATTAACATCATTCATGACTATTGTAACTCTTGAGCCTACTTAACTTTTGAGCATCGCTGAAGTGTTTGTCAGGACTATACTGCTGAAGATAGTGATAGTGAGTACAAGGCTGTATGTTTAAATTCCCAGAAGTGCTAAATTAGCCTTTTCTGTTTCTCCAACTGTTTCTCTGTCATCTTCCTGTTTTTCTAGAGAGTCAGTCTTGTAGAAGGGCCTCCTGGCCCACCAGGGTTACCTGGTCTTCCAGGTCATCCCGGACCCCAAGGATACCCAGGACCTGAAGGCCCCCAAGGTCCCCCTGGCCTCCCAGGACACGAAAGCCAGCAGGGGGCTCCAGGGCTTCCTGGGGCTCCAGGCCAGCCTGGTCCTCCAGGAGCCACAGGACCTCCAGGGATTCCAGGCCCAGTGGGGCCAGAGGGTCCTCCAGGAGTCACAGGCCCTGAAGGTCATCCAGGGCTTCCAGGCCAGGTTGGGCCAGCAGGATTACCAGGCTTCCCTGGACCAGAAGGTTCTCCAGGAGCAGATGGGCCTCCCGGAAAGAATGGATTAAAGGTAACCATTGCCTTTGCTATGAGAATTTGGGGACACATGGGTGGAGGAATGAGTTGAGAAAAGCAAAATACAATAACCAAAGGCAGGGGCAGTAATAAGGTTTCTTGGCACCTGTACCTAATGGCAGACATTTTGCTAGCTAGTATATATAAAAGCTAGTTTCTATTATTGAAACACACTCTCTAGCAGAGTCTTCCCCCAAACCATATGCACTCTATAGAACTACTGTTCCCACAATTCCCAGCAGCAAAGTCATTGGTCCTGCTAGGTGGGATTCCTCATGTAACTGGAGAACACTAGATTGGAGAAGGTTGTTCTAGCAGCAGGACGGTGGGTATAATATTCAGATCAGGCGGGACTCTACAAATAGGTGTAGGGAGGCCTCAGCAGCTCTCACTTCTATGAGAAACAAATAAATGATCTACCTCTGGTGAAATTTGATTTAATTTAATTTATCAAATTTACGTGCTGCCCGATTCCCAGCAACTCTGGGTGGTTTACGCATTGTTAAAAACATTTAAAAAACAAGAAAACAACACAAAACAAAAAGGAACAAAGATGGCTGAGATAACAAACCCAAATGGGAACAAAGAAAAAGAAGAAAAGGGGGTTTCAATCACACTTGCCAAATTATTAGGAAAGAAGAAAGCCCCCCACATACACATACACACACACACACAACTGAGGACATCAGGGAAGATGTTGGGTTTATTTCTTCCAGTTTCAATCACATTCCCATGTAGACACCATCTTCATACAGTTCTGAAAGGAAAGGGACTTGGAAATACTGGTTGTGAGGGAACAAACTCTGTTTCCTTCCTTTGAGACTGGACGACTGGAGACTGTCTCTGCTGAGGAAGACTAGAGAGAAGAGAGTTTTGTGATGTGCACCTCTGTACTGAGGTTCCTTGCTGCCCCTTAGGTTTCCCTATGTTTTACACTCCATCTATCTTTTCTTCCCATCCAGTATGATACTGAGCGGGTTACTTGTCTGTTAGGTATTGATGTGAAGGGACCTCAGCCACAGAGAATATCCCTCTGCAAATATTGTCTCCAGTTGTGATTTGTTTTTCCAAATTAAATTAAATTAAATTAAAGTTTTAGAAATCTTGGTTTTTATGTTGTGCTCAGAGGATCCCTGGGGAATCTTTTGAGTTTCTCAGGATCTCCTTAGTGAAAGGAGATGCAGGAATAAATAAGCTTTCCTGAAAAGTGGCTTCAAAACAATTGTCATCCTTCCTCTGCTTTGTGCTGCTGCAAGCGAGCATGGACTTGGATTAGCTCCCAGAACACACAGTGGTTGTCAACAAGACATGATGATAAGTGCATTGCTTGGAGACATATCAGAATTTTTTTTTAAAAAATTATTAGATGCAAAAAAAGCCATTTTGTGTGGTCTGTAACTCACCAAAAGGCAATACATCCTTCTGCAACCTGGGCTGCTCCAGACTTCAGTGATCAGAATTCAGAATTCAATAGCAGAATTCCTTTGCCAGTATGGTAATTGATGAGAACTCTGGAAGCTATAGCATACATGCCTAGAATGTGATCAAATGGTCTTAGCCCTCCCCAACAATATGATTCAACAAATATGTTCCTGCATTCCTATTTATTTGCTTTCATTTTTGCAAAAAGAAAAAAAGGAAGCATTTACATTAGTATTCATCAAAGACTGTTCAATTATCCCACGTACATATCTATTATACGTAATATAGTATATTATAGCATGTGATTTAAATTTGTTTCAATTACTTTAACAAATGAAAATTAAACATGGTTAAGTGGACAGCATTTCTAAACAGTTACCCAGTGATAGAATAGTTGCAGAAAGATATAGAGAAATAGGACTTAACTCTTTTGCAGGGGTATAAATGCAGTCAAAGCAGGGTTGGTAGTTACTTTGGGAAGGGCAGATAGTGGGGCCCTGGGGTGAGCTTTCTGTCTTTGAAGGAAAAAGCCTAGCTGCAGTTTTCTGGAAGACCATCTCACAGAGGTGGCATGGTAGATGTGGCATGGAGCGCCAGGTTGCAGGCATAGTGGACAGCCTCAGTGGGTCCTGAATGGGGAACCACTAGAGACAGAGAAAGAGAAAACACTCTGCTGCCATCTAGTTGTTGTCCTGATTCTTGCAACCCAGATCTGGTAGCCCTAGGATTGACCCAGTCTGCCAACATCCCAACCTACCATTACTTCCATTCCACCCTGGAGAGCAGCTCGGGTGTGCAAGCCGCAGGCATCAGAACAGTAGCCACTAGCTCTGTAATTAAGGATTAATATTGGGGTAAGAGGCCACACCAAAGAAGTTGGCCTTCGGGGCTCTAATTATATCCTTGCTCCTCTTCAGTTCATCTATATCAGTGGCTATTACCACATCTTCTGGCTGGCACATGATGTAGTTAAGTTATTGATCTGAATTCTTTGATAGAATGACAAGATGGCAATATAGCAATTATTTTTTTTGTAGAATCAGAGATTGTAGACATTCCACTCTCAATATATTAAATGCAAATTGATGTAAAATGCTTACGTTACTGTCATACAATGGCAGAAACATAGGCTGTGCCTTCCAAAGTACTTTGAACCAAAGACAAGTCAGCAGATATAAATATGAAAGAAACAAAGAACTCAGAGCTGATTGTTACTTTATGAGACCTGATTTTTTTTCTTTGGACTTGGCATGATTAGTCTGGATGTTGAATCCTTTCAGGGTGAGAAAGGAGACCCCGGTGAACAGGGGCTGCCAGGCAAACCAGGACAGATTGGAGAAAAGGGATCTCGGGGTCTACCTGGCCCTATAGGGCCCCCTGGAGCACCTGGCAATCATCAGGTGAGTAGAACTGACCCAGCCCTCAGCTAGCACACAACTTCCTCTTTGTTCTCCATGCAAGGTTATTCAGTTGTCAAAGAGAATGTGAAATGACATCTAGAAGCAAAGATGTATGTGCTTACTCCATTTTTTTAAAGCTATAAACCTGAAAATATACAAATGCCTTGTTTATTTTGGGGACAGGGTGGGCAGCCCACAGCCTGTAAGCCAGATGTGCCCCCCTCCCCTTATTTGCAGTCCCTAAAGGCTCCCAGAATGGGAAGGGCAGAAATTGTCCAGCTCCCTTTTTGGATTTTGTTGGGGCAGGGGGGTTAAGGGGCAAAATGACCACCTTAAGCCTTAGCCTTTAAAAGACTGAAAATCCAAAGAATCAAGGTGATTTTCCCATAGCAGGGAAGTTTAAGAGGGCAAATGGATGCTTTTTGTCCTCTTCCTAAGGCACACAAACACAAAAAGTCCAACTTTTCAGCTGTACCAATTCTAGTGATATGACAGTGTCACTAGGCATGTTTCCTGCGTCCCTTCAGCAAGGCAGAAAGTCATAGAAGTAAAAGGATTTTCTACACTTCTTTTGGATAAAAGAAAGGATCCTAAAAGTCAAATGGTTTTGTTTCTTTTTTTTTTTGGTTTCCACCAATTCACGTCCCTTTACAAAACTATTTTTTGCTATTCTCCTCCCTCTGTCCACTCCTCTAAACCTCTTATTCCTGGGGAGGAGAGGAGAAACTGTATAAGCAAAACTTCTTTTTGAATACACAGATATATTCAGGATAATTCTTAATTGTCTCTGACATGGTTTATCTGTCTTGCCTCTAGCCATAAACACAGCAATCTGACAACAGTGTACATAACAAAGGTTAAAGGTTTTGTTATCTGCACACTGATAATAGGAATTGGGGTATTCCTATGGGCTGCACTGATACCTTCTCTTGTTCTTTGTAGTGTAACTCTGAACCAAGCCTTCAAGGGGTTCCTGGTCCTAAGGTGAGTATTCATCTTAACCATGCCATATGGCTACTGGCTGTCCTTCCAGTTGGCCCGCAAGTCATCACATATCCATTGGATTCAGACTTCCTAGAGCGGTGTTTCTCAACCTTGGCCACTTTAAGAGGCCACTTTATGCTGGCTGGGGAATTCTGAGAGTTGAAGTCCACACCTCTTAAAGTGGCCAAGGTTGAGAAACACTGTCCTAGAGTAAGGGAACACAAGCTGCAATCCCAGGAGTGCATATATCTCCTTAAAGCTTCAGTAACACTCAGAGACCCTCCTTAAGTTATAATTGTCCATGTGATAATACAGAAAGTGATTGAACGTATGAGGAGAAATCCTGTTAATCTATTGAATTAAATTTCAATGAATCAAATTTAGTTTTTTCTTCTTGGCCAGGAAATATTCAACAGCCATAGGGGGCCCAGAACAATAGACAACCTAAGGCCCTCCAGCTATTGCTGATTTACAACTCAGCATCCTTCACCATTGGCCTTGTTGGCTGGAACTGCTGGGAGCTTTAGTTCAAGAACATCTAGAATGTCACAAGGTGCCCATCCATGCCAAAAAGTCTATGTCAGTGCTCCTAGTGGTTTACAGCGAAACAGCAATGATAGCGTTAACAACCATTGTTTGAAAACTCCCAGAGTTAAACGAGCCTTTACAATGGATAAATACTCACTAAACTAATAATAATAATAACTTCTTAAAGATAAGGAGGAGGAGATTCCTATGGAGAGAGCTACAACAGCCACAGCCCAGATGCGTTCCAGCTTTTAAAATGAAATCCATAAGCCATACTCTCTCATTTCCACCACAAATGTCGTTTTGTAGTGTAAAGAGCAGTTCCTTCACTTCCAAGTGCTACTTCCCTGTCTTTCTTGCTTATAAGCTTACTTCAAGGGAGGCAAGACCAAGAACTTGCAATCCTACCACCTGATTTTTTGTTTGATTTCTTTGCAGGGTGAAAAGGGAGACCCAGGAAAACTGGTACATAGTCCTAGAAAACGGGATCCCCATCCTTCAAGGCCCATTGATGGAAAAGAAATTATTTTTATTTTGCTTTAAAACTTTCTAGAAGGCTCAAAATGCTACTTTTCCACAGGATTGCCACAGCTGCTGCAAGGAAGCAAGCAGTGACCCACCTGATTCTTGGGTGCCTTTTCTCTACCAAGAGGTATGTTAGAGCAGTGTTCCTCAACCTTGGCAGCTTGAAGATGTTGTGGACTTCAACTATGCTGGCTGGGGAATGTCTGGGAGACCACACATCTTCAAGCTGCCAAGGTTGAGGAACACTGTGTTAGAGGAATGCATGTCCCAGTTTGAATAGTTGGTCTAACACTGAGAAAGTAGTGCTTGAGGTCCTCACTTCTAACCAACATAACTTTTTCTCTCACCCTTTCTTTCTGGAATATCTAGGGGAAATTTGGGAAACTGGTGGACAGAGTTTTTATTCCAAGATGGGCTTGGCAAACTGCTGTAC